TTTGCTGTCGTCATAGGCTTATTTGCTTAAATGATCATATGATTAAATCATTAATTAAGTCTTAATAGAATGATAGTAGCGATTTATTTAAAGTCGAGATTATTCTCAATCAGAATTTTAAGAAATTTTTGACAATGTTTGGCTTTTTGTTATTTAATAATTTGTTTCCTAATGAATTATTTTACATTTTATTTATTTATATATTTAAGCATCTTAGAGAAATGGAAATTTGTCGCATTGTTAGGCATTTTAACGTCCACTTCTCTTTACTCAATCTCTTCACAACTGTGTCCACTTGTGGTTAATCAGCTTAATTTCAATATTTAATTAAATTCATGTTCTATTCTTTGGACAAAATTGTGAATGCGTTCTTTTAATGCCGCTACTACGCAACTGATAATTTTATTTAATGCAACTGAGAGAAAAGGCCTAATAAATTCTCAAATGTAGCAACAGATTATTCTTTGTAAAATAAAATCGCAAGTAATATTAAGTAGACAGATGATTTTTTCATACACACAACAGAAAGACTTATAAAAGAAAGGTTATCTAAAATCATTCATTGACTCTAACTTAAGCCCTCAACACCCGAATTATTATTTACAAAAATTCACCCAACTGCAACCCAACCGCGTATCTCACAGCAGACTGATGCCGCCAACGTGATGAGTTTTGGTGATTTCAGGTGAAGATTATGGTCGTATTGAACTCGTTTCAAATGTCAATTACGCCTTCTGTTACGAGTCTAGTGCCAATTGAGCTTATTTTGAAAGAGGACCGTACGGTTCTAAGAGAGTTCAGGGGTTAATCGAGTCTTTATTATTGAGCAAACCACTTATAATTTCCCTTTGATTTCCAACAGATGCGTGAAGCTTAACTTAATTACCTAATAGCCCATTGGTGGGCAAAACTTTCAACCATAAAATTAAGATAGAGTGTTTAATTTTCTGGAATATAGCAAAAACGGATTAGCTTCATTAAATATTAAAAGATTTAATTATTTTCAAAGACAAGTATGTTCTAGGGTGTAGGTGACGTAAATGTTGACGTTCTTTTTTTGCTTTTATTTAAAACAGAAATGCGAGTTTCACTTCGTGTTTTAAACTGATTTTCGTGTTGTTTTGAACGCTGTTTTAAAATAGTGGCTTTTAAAAACCTACTTAAAGGAAACTTACTTTAAAAAAAAACTAAGTGTGCGAGACTACGTGATTCAGCCTGTCTCTAAATGCTCTCAAGAGTACACTGATATTAAAGCTAGATTAAATCCAATTTTTGTAATTAGTATGCGTTCATTAACTTGAAAGCATAATTTAAATAATTTAAAACCCTAAAAGTGCAAAGAGGTGATTACCAATTTCAGGTATAACGAAGTGAAAATTACCTCAATTTCACCGCAACAGTTTAGTCAAAATTAGGAGATTTATAAATCCATTAATACAACACTCATAACAGAAAATGCTATTGCTGTTTGAAACATGTACAATACTCCTCTATAGACTTCGCCTGATCCCGAAAATAACTCATCACGTCAGGGACATCAGCCTGCTGGGAGACACGCGTGCACTTTCCGAAAAATGATTCGGGTGTTAAGGGATTAATGGTTATTCTTGAAGCGCCTAGTGAGCCCGACTAAACAGTTGGAAGTACTCTTCTTTTGCATATCCAACTCACTTGATCAAAGTCGACTTAAAAAGTGATACTTTAATTGCACCCAAATGTGCATCGGAAAACGTTAAAGAGTAAAAGTGGCGAATTCACTAAGATGGAATGATATATCCTTCAACAGTATAATCTTGTCTTTTTGAACATTGTGGTCTGAACTTTATGATGTCAGAATATGAAATAGGGAAACGTGATCGATCTGTTATAGTTGAAACATAAATGAATTTTTTCAAATGGCAGGCTTTATGATAGTTATCATTAGCTCTTTAGCTGACTTTGGGCATCATAGAGGGGAAGAACATCAAAGTGCGAAAACTTCGAGAGGGGGAACAGAAAAGTGATTGAAGAATGCAATAGAGATAGACAGACAGACAAAAAGGCAGTGAAAAGGTAGGATGAGTACTGTGAAAGTGGTGGAGCATGACATATAATGAGGTGACGGTGGTTTGAAGTGAGAATTCAAATACCGGTTTATAGACTTTTTATACGTTCCCCAGGGTGCACCACGTGGAGGTAAGTCTATCGCACACCTCATGATACCTATCATAACGCCTGCCATTTGAAAGTACGTTGTCCAGGGTGCACCACGTGGAGGTAAGTCTATCGTATTCTTAAGAATAATTGTTTAGAAAACCAGCAAGGGTTGAAAGTTGCCCAGGGTGCACCACGTGGAGGTAAGTCTATCGCACGCTGTCCAGGGTGCACCACGTGGAGGTAAGTCTATCGCACACACCCCTCCGCTTCCAAATAAGATGTTGATAGTGAAGGCATATCATATATATGAAATAAAGCTTTCAGAAGAATCTCTTATCTACTCTTATGCTCTTATTTTGTGTTTAAACACTGCAAAAATTAAGATTTGCAAGTCTTTTAAAAAGATATTGATTATAATTTTAATAAGAACATAAAACTAAAAGATTAAGTTAAGTCTATATTAAGATGTGGAAGTTGGTGATATTCAAGTGTTGTGTAATGTTAAAGCAAACAGGATATGTCAGAAAAATCACTACCTGTAACATTCTTGATTACTTGTTTAGATAACTCTTGTCAATTCCATCCCTCAAATCGCCTGAATCTCAGTTAATAATGGGAGGGTTAATATTGGAAAAAAGAATATTCTTCATCTTCTCTTTTTTTGTACTAAGCAGTATAATTAGCCAATGAAAACACCCGAATAATTTGAAGGACTTAAATTTTCTTTTTTCTGCAATACGTTTTCCTCATTTGATTGAGATTTGGCAAAACATGTCGATGAGTGAATTAGAAATTTGACTGAATTGAAATGAATTTTAGAATACTTTACTTTATCTCCACAAATATTCTAATTGGCCAATTACAACCCCCCCCCCCCCCCCCCCCCCCACCCACCTCAAACAAATTTAATTAGAATTGAACTCGTCCTTGTTGACCATATTTACGGCTTGTTTTAAATCCTGATATTTATCCAACACTTCGATATAATTAATACAAACTAACTGGAATCATCAGTACGCCTAATTATCGAGACCTGCATTGGCCATGAAAAATGGTCTAGATCGCACAAAATTTCGCTCAAAAGTAACTCGAATGAGTTCAAATCTAAACGTAAATCATCTCCTTCTAGGACAATTCTCTTTTTTCCCAATCTTGGTTTATAAAAACCTCCCAGTTAGTGGCGAGATGCGATAATTTCAACTAATAGGAGTTTCGTCTTTCCACATTTAAACTATTTTTAATTTTACTTGGCAAATTAAAGACAGGGAGTTGAGACAAATTGTTACACTTTTAAAAAATTATAAGAATAATCATAATAATAATTTTAAATGGGAATTGAATTAATCTTGAGTGTCTAGATAAGACGTTTCAAAGACTAGCGTTATGGGCAAATTTCAGATCGCCTAGTTCATTGCATAAGCGTCCATTGTATTATTGAAGAGTATATTTTCCTAAACCCCTTAGAAGACTGAAGGTATGAATAATTAAATATTCGTCTTAAATAACACCTTATAGTTTATTAACCCTAAGTCATAACAGAAAACAGAAACTTGAAATTTCACAACATTGTCTCAGTGGTAAATAAACTAGCGCTGACATAGCAACCATTGAGAATTTTGGTACCTTATTTGAGTGGTTGATTGTTTAAAGTGTTTTAATGGAAGTTTAAGGCATCAGGTTAGCCTAATCAATACCGTTTCAATGGTAGTAAATGAAATACACAAGACTGACTAATAAATTCTCACATTGAATATGGTATTAATGAAGGTGTTTGGGCAGAGAATGGATCAGAGCTCAAACTACATATCTCTTGTGGTTTTAAAAATAGTTAATTAGAATAATAAGGAATGTTGGATTCCTTGTTAAGGACTTAAATTCCAGAAATTTATCGCTTAAAAAATAATTAGTATGAACTTTTGGTAATAAAGAAGAAAATAAATGAACAGTATCGAGGTGGGGCTTTCAAAAGAGGCCTTTGAATAAGTGATTTTGAAGAACTGTAACTTTGTTCATAGCAAATTTATTGATGATTGTACAGATAATATAAATTTGTCATATCACAAGTTTAGTGTTTACAATTACTTAATTATTAGGCTACTGACCGCAAACCCAAGAATGATTCAACACCCATTTCATCTTAACTGCCCGCATCGATTTATCCCTTAATATAAAGATGTAAGAGTAATATAAGTCTTCTTCTGAATTAGCTTTTTACATATCACCAACCCGGAATAGGTTCAATCGATTGCTGGTAGAAATGAGTTTTTGAAGGAATTTTTCGGAACACGGGTCTCTTTTTCAACTTCCTTCCAATTAAATCAATACCTATTAGAGCTATTTATTTATTTATTTCAAATGGCAGGCTTTATGATATTTATCATTAGCCCTTAATCTTTGACTTCAGCTTCCCCCAAGAAGGGGGGGTACATTTATAGCAGTTAATTAATAGCAATTCATTAGCTGTCTTCTTGCTTCCCAGTATCTTTGGCTTTCCGTACTTGTCTTTAGGGCTGGACACCGAATCAGGTGGGTCTTCTCCATTTCCTCATGTAGGTTACATAGAGGGCATGTGGGTTGAGTGTATAATCCCAATCTGTGAAGGTGTTTTGCCAAGCAATCGTGTCCGGTACGTAGTCTAAACTCAGCAACGGCTTCGATTCTTGGTCAGTCGGCTATGTCGGAGAGTGCCACTGTCCACTGTTTCTCCTTTGTTCGAGCTTTAATTTCGTTGCACCTTGAGGTCTTGAATTCTCTTCTGATTAAGGCCTTCATTGTGTGGAAAGACATCGGCCGGTCCATGCATTGCAAAATCGTTATCTCCCTCTTAGCAAGTGTGTCAACTACATCAATGTCTGCTAATGGGTTCATGGGGGAGAGAGGCTTTTTGGTTTGTCATCGATTTGTAATGCTTTCTTCAGTTCTATGGCTTTCTGTATTAGACCAGATTGTGTTTTCAGGTGTCTTGGTCTATTCTCATAGGTGCTGAAGAATTTGTCCATGGGAATGCGCAGTAGCTTCTCATACAGGATCAAGGCCTTTTCTTTGATAAGGGAACCTATTGTGGTGCTTCCTGTAACAAGGAGCATTGCATCAATGGGTGTTGATTTTATCCCTCCAGTAATTAGTCGTAATGCTTGGTTGTGTGCCTTCTCGAGGGGTTTGAGATTCACCTCTGTGGCTGTAATGAGTGGCTCACAGCAATACAACATTATTGGCTGAATAAACATCTTGTAAGTGGTGTTTAGACCTGAGCGCGCACAGCCCCATACGCTACCAGCAAGATGCTTCAGTACATTCAGTCTATTGGAGACTCGTTCTGCTATTTTAGCAATGTGAGTTTTCCACGTTAGCTTTGTGTCAAACGTCATTCCGAGATATGTGAACTCATTGGTTTTTTCTATGGTAGTATCCTTGTACCTTAGAAGCGGATTTATGCTGTGATGGGCCAAAGAAAAAGTTTGGAATGCAGTTTTGCAGTGTTGATTACCATTTCATTGTTGTCGCACCAGTTTGCTAGTAGCTTAAGTGCACAATTTAGGGCACTTTCTGTCCTCTCCAGAGCGTTTTTCTTAGGGGCGGAATACCATAGTACCAGATCATCTGCATAAAGTAAGCACTTNGAATGAAGTTCATCCTCTAAAAGGTTTGTGAATCTAGGCCAGTCAGCCTTCTTGAAGTTCCATGATAGCTTAGTTGCCACTTTCCTTGACATGCTTTTGCTGCCGATGGCAATACTAGCAATGACTGGTTTGTGACCAGAACCAGGATCTTCAATTATTTTGCGGCGAGTATGCTCACTGATGTCGCTTGAAGCCAAGAGTAAATCAGGAGTTGTTTTGGTTCCATTGTAGTGCAAATATGTAGCCGGATCCTCATTGCTGTAAATAAGTTCCAGAGGGTTGCTGTTTAGCATGTCTTCAATTTCCTTTCCAGCTATGTTTGTATCCTTGTAGCCCCATCTGGTGGAGTGGGCGTTGAAGTCTCCTAGTACTATAGTTTTGTGTGAGATGTTCAGAATGTCAAAGTTGGGACAATTCTGGGGTGGATTATAGACTGCATATATCTTGAAGTGGTTTTGACATTTCCAAACATTTAATCTGATTATTTCACTTTTGTCTTGTGTCGAGCCCATACTCTTGATTTGATCGTAGTGTGAGGTGATGCCTTCTTTTACTCCAGTTAGAATTCCACTTGCAACTTACCGGTATTTAGTGGATTGTACAGGGTGTAACCTGGGAATTGGTAGTACTTCAGTTTGTCATCCGAAATGTTAGCTTCCATAATTGTGAAACTGTCTACATCATAGGTTTGTAGGATTTTCTGTACTTGGATCTTTTTGTCCGGAGACATTCCTCCAGCATTCCACTGGAGGATCTGAAGACGTTGTGATTCGCCCTGACGAGGGCGATTTTTCTTATAGCCTTTTTTAAAGCTAATCATAATAAATTGAAGTCAAAAACGAATGCCGAGTGATAGACTTTTTTGCCGTAAGAAAATACGTTGTCCAGGGTGCACCACGTGGAGGCAAGTCTATCGCGCACCCCCCTATTAGAGCTCTTTCTTTAAAAATGTTTTAAATCATGAATGAAGACCTGTGATAGATCACCCGGGTCCTCAATGGAAATAGTAGGTGATACCGAAATAGCGGCCATATCTTAAAACTGGAGCAACTTTGAAGTACCTTAGACAACTCGTATACAAATAGAGCACTGCTGTCTGAATATAAATCTTATAATTCGGATAATAATATGATTACCACGCTGCATTCATCATGCGTACTAACTCTATCAATTCTCAAATTTTTCTGATGTTGAGTGAGCACGATCTTGGGGAATGACAATTAGAATTCGCGTATAGAAAATTGGATTCTAGTGTTGTTACTGTGATATCCTCTCTCACTTCGTGCTATTTTCGCATAATTCCTAGATTCTAATCATAGGTCACTTCATCTGACGGGTTGGAATTTTGGTGCTTCTCTTTCAACTTTCATGCACAAGCTATGTATTACGTCAGGAAGCTTCACCAAAATCATAATTTATGGCAACTTCATTTTTATTGTATTTATTCAGGAGATGGGGGGTCGTTTTTTACTCCAATCAAAAATATGCCAGATCAGAGTTCGATTTCACTTTGCTTGAGCTGTGGTGTGTGTTCTTAGTTGTTAAAATCTAAGTAGCGCTTATTGACATGCATATATATAGCTCTAACACTCTATCGTGAAATCTCAGTGACTTCGGTGCATCCCATCGCAAACTTTCAAATGAATTCCGAACAATTAGTTCTCTTAAAATGCATGCAAAGCCTCATCTTGAAAGAAAAGAAAGCTATTCATTATAATCCCTGGCTTATTATCTTCAAAGCCAGGTTACAATTGGTTAGAATGCTTTCATTGGCAATTGCAATATTCACTGGGTTTCGGGAGAAAATCTAGCAATTTAACCCTACTCTACCTTCCGTAAATGCATCATTCAAAATTGCACTCACCATTTGCTTGATTTTATGAACTTAGTGGACAAAGTTTGTTCTGAACAATTCTATTTGAGAGCTATTTTAATACTATACTACTTTAAATGTGGACATTCATTCAGTTTGAAGTTATTTCTCCTAAGGGTTATTCGTGAGAAAATGTGTTTATTGTGATCTTAGCTATGAAGTCGGTTGTAATGAGCTGTGGCTTAGCAACGACATTCCATTTTGTAGAGGTCAAAATTTGATACAATTACCAATTACATAACCTCAGCTTCACACAAATGTCTTCTCTGGAACTATGTGTTTATTATTTCGCTCCTTGTTTAAATTAAGCATTCATATTACTTCTCATACTTCACGTGTTTTCTTCATTGAAATAAGAAAATTAATTTTAGGCAATTAGATATTTTGAGATGTCAGTTCTCTCCGGATTATCAAAATAAATTGGAGATGTTTTTGGTTAGTTAAATAACTGTACGACGTTTCTCCTTCTTCGTTATTATCTAAGAAAAGTCAAGATTCTTTCAACAAGGAAGCATATCCAGCTTCAAGTCAATTGTCAAATCTTCCAATTCTATCGTTTTCTTTTCGACATCGAATCCTCTTCCAGGTATTTGTTTTAACATATTCTAACTTGCCCAAAATTCATGGACGCTGGTTATGAAAATAAAGAAGGACATTCAAATCTATAAGGGGGGAAATGTTCTTTAAAACTCCTCAACTGATGTATTTTAATTCCAAACAGTATTTTTTTCAGGATTGAAAAATCAACATTTGCGCTATCTGTTTTCGTGATTCACTTATCGATTTTTATCAAATGCCTACCTTTTAATGATTTAAGGCTTTTTTGGAGGAAGACATGTCTTGAAGTAAAATAAAAGATGATCCTTTGCACTACTTATTGCATTATTCAATTTGAATTACAGTTAGCGTTGCATAAAAATGACTATAAATTTACTGTTTTTTCGTGTGATGTTGTTGGAAAGTGCGTGACATTATAACTTTTAAGTAAAGCAAATATTTGTAATAGCAAATTGATATCAAATTCTTCTTAAAAGCGTTCAGAATTTAGTTTGCAAATCCGTATTAACCGCTGTGTTTATTTATTCCTTAACTAACTCTCCGTTCGGCCTAAATTTGGTTAATAATAAAATAATCAGGACTGGTTGAATTCCCTTGCAAGTTTTACTTTAAGTTTTATTTCAAATATGCCTACCCAGTGGGATCAATTATTGTGATCAGTTATTGTTTATAACAATAATAAAAGTTTGATGGTAGAATAAATTGATATTAAACTAGGGGGTCTAAGCTTAAATTATTCAGAAACTGTACTACTATTCAAGTAGATTTAGACCCACAACTTCCTTTCTTATGGAACATTTAAGAAGCTCTAATTCTATTCGAACTTCAAAATTGGCCAATTTTAGAAGAGTACACGGATATATCCTTACACATAAATTTAAATTCATCGGAAGTTAGTATGAAAATATTCTCTTAGTCATTTGCATTTTAACTCATTTGTTTGTCTCCTGTACTCATTTTCTGGCGTTTAAATTATTTACAGATTTGTCTCCGTTACTTCTAAATTTTCCTCTACTATCAAGGAAAGTTTCATTTGCCCAGTAAGAAGGTTGATATGTTTACTGAGCTCCGTCATGCTATTTTTGTCTCTAATTGTCACAGAGAAGCAAAAGATAAAACTCCAATCGTGGCAGATCTAGTGATTATGCAAAGTAGTGGAGTAATCTAGCACACGGTGCAATTGGATTTCAACAGAAGCGTAGACTGAAATCAGGCTGGCTGGAGACCCTGAGTTTCCATCTTTTCACAATTCGCTTGATAATTTTCAAAAAACGCGCGCTCGATAACGAACGTAATAGCAGAATATCTGTCAACATAGCATATAATATACTGTTCAGTGAAGTGGATGAACAGTAAAGAGGTGGAAGTGAGAAGGAATAACTTAACCACCGCATTTTCTACCGTATTCCAGTCCTCTTTCAGAGATGTCCTTCAAGTTGTAAAGGCCGATACCATAACTAGTTTCTTTATCTAACAATCATAACCTCTCACTAATAGCCGTAAATAGTAGTTTCAAATCTTTCAAGTCAGAATTGCGTCATTTAGGCGTCATTTGATTATCATCTTATTTGTTTGATTTTAGTGCAGTCTCTCTCTCTCAAAGTAATTATTTAAAATTGATCGTCAGTTCACATCTATAAAAGTCTCTTAATTCACTGAATTTTAAACGTTCTCTGCTAGACTGTTTTTGTCCAAATTATCTACTTGTTGTAAATACTTTGCAATGCAACATTTTCTAAGTTGATTTCGAAAAAAATTGTGTCCTGTCTACCTCAGAGGTATGTCCTTCGTGGGTTGATTTATGGGGCCAATATTAATGTATGAAACAAAAGCAGTGTAGTGTCGAAGGAGTTGGAGGAAGAAGTGAAAGATGGTAACCATTGTTAATGAAAAGACAAAAATGCTGACGACAAAATGAGTCAGAAATAATGAAAGTTGGAGTCATTTCATCTGTACACCTGTGAGCTTAATAAGGAAAGACTATAACACATAACTCAATAAAAAAGTAATAATTACTGTGATATTTGGCAACAATTAAATTACGAGTAGTAATATCAACCAATAACTTTATAAATTATTAATTTCCAACTGTCAACGAAGAAGCTATCTTTTTTGTTAAGGCATTTGACAGCCATTATTCCCTGTTATTTGAAACATGCACTTTTTAGCTAAAGAAGATGAGCATCTAAGCACAGATTAGATTTAAAAAAGAAAGCTTAAAGGAAAAAAAGAATAAATGAAAACGGGGTGGGTGAAAGACTGGAAGGAAACTGATTTTACTCTCGTGTTCCTGTAGCGGATCGCTACTCTAATAAAG